TGTTCTTGGTTTTTGTTTTCTTATTTTCCTCTTTCGTTCATAAATTTTACAAAGATTTGAAAGGAAATTCATTGCAGTCGAATTCACAAACAACAACAAAAACAGCATTGGTGGTAATACTGGTATACGAGTATATGAGTATAGAGTTTATGCAGCGTATTTTGCACAGAAAGTTTTTTTAGTTAAACAGTTTTGGTGCGGTTGCTAGTAAAAGGTGGAGGTAAAGTTGTTGTTGGCGTATGAGTTGGTGGAAAAAGTCAATTATTAAAATAATAATTAACTTAGTCAAATGAAGTGAAAATATTCGCAACTGTAAATATATTTAAATACATTTGTGGAGGGCAAATTTCAAGGCAACGATTTTCAAATTCATTGGGGTTTGAGAAAATTTCCAGTTAATTAAAGTTTATTTACTTTGTTACCAGCTTAATTCGTAGGTTTTTAATTTAAACTTTCCTCTCAAATTATGGTCAAGCTTCTATTACTTTTACATCTTTACATTAAACTTCTTATAATATTTTATATACCATATTGAAAATTTACTTTAAAGCAAAATATAAACAGACCATAACTCTCTTCGTTTGTAGCTCTTGCGCAAAAGGATATACTACTAAATATATGTATATATATTTATTTTATTAAGGGAAGCTCATAATGATCACATCTTTCATCAAAAAATGCTGCGCGATAGGTGATGGATCCAGTTGTATGATACTAAAAGTATTCTCTTTTGGAAACCGATGGATTACTCACCGCCAGACTAGAATAAAATCCCAGGTCTCAGTGATATAAAAGTAACAAAAGTGCAATCAGATGTACGAGATGTATAAAAACCTACTATTTATCATGCCACAAAGCGTTTGCATTCAGCCAAACCTGCCATCATTGCAACAGTCATACCCGCGCCAAGCGGTAAATCCGCTCACTCGAGCATGATAACAGCCTTTTTCTCGAAACCATGTTTTTCCAGCTGAATAAGACTTTTATTGAGAGCCTATATAAAATGTCTTTTTATGGTCGGTACTACAACTAAAACTACTTTTTGTTATTTAAGAAATTTATAAACAATTAAAAACAAAAATTTTTTTTTATAAAATTTTTTTGTTAAATAAATAAAATTTGTTTGAAAAAAAATGTTTTTTTAAGGAACCTGGCCTTAAATAAAGGAAAAACAAACGGTGATGGAAACTCGTACCAATTTTTTTCAAAGTTTAGACACAACTCCTTTCTACACTACTACAAAGAAAAACTTTTTGGGTAAAACGTGACCACAATGGTGTAATCGCACCAGTATTCAAATAAACGTTTTTTACAATTCCCTAATTTCTTTCACCCGCTAGTTTATTGCCTTCCCAACATAATGTTGAAGGTGGCTGAGATCAAGATGGTTTTGAAACCAGGAAAGTCATGGGAATAAAAGTAAGCAAGCCCGTAGGCCTGCACAAGGCGTTCGTCTGATCTTTTAGCATAAGGAATTCTACTCAGCTACTTTTATTGGCATATATCAAGCTTTTGGAGGATTTAAGCACAATAATATTTTGTGTAAAAAAAATAAATCTATTATTTTTGGATGAATTTTAAAGCTATAATTTTTTACTACTTTTATCCAGTCTTATTCAAGTGGTTCGCATTTTGCAAACTTTATCTCTTGGGCAATCGAAACAGTGCTTACATGATGGTCGGACCCGACATTGTCCATGATTTTACCGACATTTTCGACAACTGACCTTCCACTTCGTAAAGCATGTTTTACATAAAAATTACCGCGATGAAACCGAAATTGTACATGATTGACTGTCAGGATCAAAAACGCTTTTTGCATTTTCAACCGCTTGCGTTTATCATAGAAAATCTGTAAAATATAACGTATTTTCTCTTTGCGGGTGCCCATCTTTGACTCATGCTCAAACAAAATTGAATCAGCCAATCACAAAACCGTAAAAAAGGATTTTTTAGTGCAAATTGTGATCTTTATTGTGGAACTCGATTGGACTTATACAACGCGACATACAGATAAATAATGTCATTTATTGGTAAAATAGTGAATTTCCTCTTAACCTAATGTATTATTAAATATTAAAAGTGGAACCACCGCAGAACTTAGATTCACTAATAAAAACATAGCTGAACCAGCGTGCGTCTTACCCTGCTTGTAGCAATGTAATGAACTGGTTTGTTAGTATTGTAGCTGTGGTTCTACAATACAGCTTACTGGGGCCTACTGCTTACGTTATTTTACTAAAGTCAAATGACGTTCCAAATGATATGGACACCGCTTAACGACCGCACGGAATAAGATCTTAAAAGTTTTAAACAGCAATCGACCGAATTACCAGCTGGACAAACTGATTTAGAGATTAGCAATGCAAATCAACTCTTATAATGATCAATACATTTTTCCTCGAAGCAAATTTAGCAACATCCCAATTCCTTAATCTTACTCTGCTTATCACTTGGGAATGCACTTCAGGAGTCGCCTAACATGAAGGACCACACAATTCATCCCAGAGAATGCCAATTGAAATAGAACTTCAATATATGTTCTGGGTGCGAAATCCCAAATCTTCTCTCTAAAAGAATAACAAGCTTCTTTTTTACATATCTCTACAGAAGCCGGTATGGATATACAGTATTCGGCTGTGAAGAATTGCCTCAATTCCCAATTTAAGTTCAACACACTTTGAAACTACACTAGTGAATAATCGCCTACGAAAAGAAATCCAAAGGAGCTTACCACTAATTTCACATTTACTTTTTAAATTATTTTTAAAACATGTCTTAAGTTCTAACACAGTATATATATTATAAACAAAAAAATTAAAATTACTTGGCAACCCTAGCAGTCTCTTGATTAAATTTCTTTGCAGACCCATGACGCTAGTGGTGCTATATAAGTTAATGAGAAAGAATCGCTGCTGAATCATTACAGATCTATGGTGACTGTTGATGAAAAGTGGATCACTTACAGCGACGGCAAATGAAAACAATCCTGTTCGAAAGGGAGTGAGTCAGCGCATTTGGTCGACTGGAGAGGATTGGCGGCCAGAAAGATTTTGTTAAATACTTGGTGGGATTGGCACGTAATCATAAACTACGAACTGCTCTCCTATGGCAAAACTTTTAATTAGGACTAGAAATATCTTTGCCCATAAGGAGGAGAATTGTGTTTGATCAAGATAGTTTCAGACCAAAGACATCGCTAGTGACACGCCAGAAGCTGTGAGAGTTCGGTTGGCAGCTGCTTCTATCTATGGCGTATAATTTAGCTGGTGAAGAATAGACCCCAAAAGAAGCCGCTGTAAAAATGAGGATTGTCTGTAGATTTTTAAGCTTCATCTACAGAAACAATAGATTTTTAATTCAAAGTTATTGGAGAGAATATAAGTCTAGAGCTCATTTCTATTAAGTTCATCTTAATTGGGTGGTAGCTGAGGCCTATAGTCAAGAGAAAGATAATTACGAGCGTGAGATATAGAAAGGCATCAATATAAGCCTGTGAAAAAATGAGAAGTTTCTGTAGATCTCGATCTTGAGCTTAAAGTAATTCGAAAGAATATAAGTCTAGGGCTTATTTCTGGTAAGTTCATCTTACTTGGGTGGTGGCTGAGGTCTGTAGTCACAGGTCAAGAGGGGAAAGATACTTAAAAAATTACTTAATTTTAGACAAACTAAAATCAGTATTACATCCCAATTTATGCGAAAGTAAATATTTTGAAAGAACTCTAAATACTTTGAAAGGCTCACTGTGTAAGACAAAAAAACAGTGGAATTTAAGGAAGATTTTTGCTTGGAAGAAACTCGCTTTGGATGCGAGGCTCAATTTTTGGGCCACATTGTTTCCAAATACTCATAAGTCACGGCTCAAGGGAGCCTTATTACTTAAAACTTAAGCCCGCTTTACCGAAAAAAATTAAGATACAACAATGCTAAGTACTCCATAAATCTTTTTGATGTAAAAAAATTTTACTTAAAAAAATTGCAAAACAAAATTTGCTCAACCAAAACCATTTATGAAAATGACATTTTACCCAGATTTATGGCTGCATAAATGCAACTGTCCGCACACACCTGCGTTAAACGGCACTACCTTGTACACTTGCGCCTACATTGTTACCTATGTATGTATGTGTATGTATTAAATGTATGAAAGAAAATGACATAACTTAAAATGCAAAACGCGTAACGGCAATTGCGTGTTGGAGGAACATTGTACGAGCGTATAGAGTAAAAGAGTATGTAACTTTTTCGAATTTCCTTTTCCTCGCTAAGTGCAGGCAACTGCGCCAACATCCAATAGCCAACAGCTAGTGAAACCTCAAGATATGCATGAGATTGCATTTAATTTTGTAAATTATGAAATTTTTATGCAGCAAACGTTGCATAAATGATGCCACTCACACTCTCGCTCTTGCTCTGGGACTCACTGTACTTCTCTCTCTCTCCTCCCTCTCTTTCATATTTCTTGCAGTTGCAGTAAATTTCATATATTCAGTCACACAAGCGCATTGCATGAACGCGCGGTTGTCACTGGCACTGCCTTGCTGCCGCGTATGAGTTGATTCATGTAAAAATGCATACAATTAAATTAAGCTTATTTATGTTGGCATAAAATTTTCATTTTTAAAGGCTTTTAGCGCGAAAAGTTCTACTGCATTTTTGGTTTTCTTTTAACTCTTTTTTTTTAGCAAAAATTTCAATTTTTTCTCAGCTAGTGAGACTTTTTCCTAAAACGCCTTAAACTATGCCACACGCCTAGTGTTCGCTCTTGCTTTCCCCATTGAAGCATTTATTATTAATGTTCTTGTCGCAACACTTTTTCGCTGTGCTCCAGTTGTTTAATGTAAAATGCACAATTTTAGTTTAAAATTTGCCTGTTAAATATTCTAAACTTAAAGTTACTTAGTCTACTCTTTCAGCTGCTTTATATTGCGCGCGCTACACTTTGACATAATGAGTATAATTTTTTATGTGTTTTTTTATATTGTCAGAAAAAAACTTACCTCAGCTGTGTTGTAAAAGTTCTTGCCTAAGTTGAAGAAAATATTTTCTTGTCGTTTTTTATTTTATTTATATTCTTTTTCCGTCTGAAGCACAATACTCCCCTTATGCTTTGGTTTTTTTTGTTTCTAAACGCGAAAAGAGCTAGATATAGCTTTGAAGAGTCTGCCAAGTTCAGTGAAAAATATCAGAGAAAAGACAGCTGCAAGATAGATGCTGAAAAAATATGTAGAAAACGAGTTATGAAAATATAATTTTATTAATAATTTAACATACATTTAAAACATTTATAGAACATCACCAAAGTGAATAGAAGAGAGGAATTCCTAAGTAATTCAAGTCTTAGTTATAAGCGAGAATGAAACAATCAATTTTCAGTTACAAAATGACATCGAAATCTAAACGGGACGATCAATTGATATAAAAAAATTATATTAATATGTTAAAACATTTAAAATGAAATAAAAATTTAAATAAAAAACTAAAAATTGTGTACTAATTGCATAAAAGCAATGACGAGAAATAAATAATAAATAAAATTTAGTATTAAAAAAATAAATGTTAAACTAAGAGAGTAAATAAAGGTAAAAATTAAATAAAATTAATAAAAACAAATTATGAAAATTTCAGTAAAAAATTTACTTAAAAAATAAAAAAAAATTAAATTAATAGAAAGAAAGATAAAAATAATAACAAAATCTCAAAAAATAAAATAAAATTAAAGTTTGTGAAAAAATTATTATATAAAAGCGATAATAAAAACTTAAGCAACAAATTAAAAAAAAAAAAATAAAAATAATTATTAAAAAAATATAAAAAAAAATAACTTACAATAAAAATTAATTCAATTCAAAAATTTATTAATAGAACGAATGATAAAAATAATAACAAAATCTAAGATAAAAATTAAACTAAAAGAAGAATACAAATTAAAATAGAAGGAAAACATAATTTAAATTAAATATTATTAAACAATTTTTGTAATAACTAATTACAAAAAAGCTTTTATCATTGATACAAATATAAAATGTAATCAAATTAAAATATCACTATGAAATTTTAACTAAATAATGAAATTCAATTAAAATTAATTTGAAGTCACAAATTGAACTTAATTAAAAATAAAATTTGTGTTGTATTATATAAAAGCAAAGAAAAAAATGAAAAGTTTAATAGCAATAAAAACTGCTTTTAAAAAAATTTAATGTATAATTTATAGTTAAAAATCGAAATAAAAAATTAAGATTAAGAAAAATGGAAATTAAATGAAAAATAAAATAAAATTATATTACCAAAAATTATAATAAAAAAATACAATTTGTGCTTTAATTTTATATAAGCAAAGAAGCAAATTAAAAAATCAAAATAAAAACAATAAAAATTATTATTAAATAAATATTTAGTGAAAAATCAAATTAAAAAATAAGAATAAGGAAAATAAAAAGTAAATAATAATAATAATAAAATTAATAATAATATAAATAATAATATTAAAATTTGTGCTATAATTATATAAAAGCAAAGAATAAAAATATTAATATAAATTAAATTAATAATAATAAAAAATAAAAGTAATTATAGAACTAAAAAAAAATAGTAAAAAGATTATGATAAAATAGTAATAAAAATTAGAAATAAATATATAAAAATTGTCTCTCTCAGAGTTCAAAATTTAGTTAAAAATCTGCGTAATAATCAAGTTATATAGTCACATCTCTCCTTCGGGACTAAATACACCCCTTGCTTAGTTGCATAAAATTTCAAACGGTTATAGACAATAATGCAAAATGTGTTTAGATGTACCACCCCAAGGTGCGGTCAACGGTTGTTGACAAAACTGGGAGAAGCAGCCATGCTAATAGCCTGCGCAAACAACATTTCGGCCATCATAAGAGGTAAGTGCATGCCTTGAACTTAGTTTTAATCACAAAAAAGTATAAAATTCCAAATTGAATTAAACCTTAGTTGGGAGAGACAACTTAAAAGCCAAAACCAGGCCCCTAGATACTTGGAAACAAGTTATCGTGGTGGCTGAATCTGTATATAACGCATTAGCAGCTTTTTATACATGTAAAAAAATATTGGGTTTCTCCCCAGGCTTCGCACCAACCATTTGGCGTTGCCATTAAGTAACTCTATGGTGGTTGAGTATACTGGTGGGTTGTAGAAAATCAGCATATCTAGGAAGAATGGAAAGAGTCTTAACGCTCTAGATGCTCGGCATTATCATTAGGGCATTTCGATATTTTCCAAGCCAAAATAATTGCAAGGACAAGAACTCGCATATACGTAGATATTCGGTTTTTTTTTCTTAGAGCGCAAAATCGAGCAATTCAAAGACTGCCTAATTGACTGGAGCAAAGAAATTTCTACCTTTTTCGCAGGCTAAGAAATAACCGGTGAGTTTGTCCAAAATGGAGCCCTTCAGCACAGAACATTGCCGTGTACTTTCCAATTTCTCTCAGAGAGGTGAAACTTGAACAATACTCACTCTTTTCTCGTCAAACTAATGGACTTTTGGGAATACTAGATGTTCACTAGAACCCCACTAGTTTACACTTTTACAACATCTATTTTCCATGTAAGCAACTGGTATTTTTAATGAGACGATATGTCAAACAGTCACATTTCAGTCTATGCCTCAGATTCTTACTAGTTAAATACCAGTTCATATATAGCAATTAAAATACTTCAGACTTTATTTCCTTTTTTTTTTTGGCAAAATGATAAACTGGTATGCAGAAAAACACTAGTTTATATATTAAATTTTTTGAAAGTTATTCTAAATTTTAGCTAAAAATGCTAGTAAAATTCTACTCCATGTTGAACTATCATATTTTTGTCCCTTAAATACTAGTGATATTCTGGTTCAAATTTCGCCTATTTAAGTAGATTTTTTGCATACTAGCCTGACTTTTCCCAAAAGGGTAAATGCAGCAAATGCAGAGAAAGAGAACAGATAATAGAGGACATAATATGTGAGTGTCTTCAATTGGTAAGAGGCAAAGGCCATTGGAGGTACAGCAGGAAAAGTAGGAGTACACGTATTTGATCTTAGTTAGTATTTCTGGTCACACTTTTAAACGGTATCGTTTATATGGGACTTGCATTTAGTGTAACCTTGCCTAACCTAGCTTAACCTATGCTCGGAAGCGTAGAACTGTAATTTGTAAGATTTTCTTGCCATGAAATTAAACACTAAGGATCAAAAAAATAAATGCATACGGTAGTCTTTACCCGATTGGGAAAAATAACTTTTTGCCTCCCAATTTCTTTATAAGTCCAGTACAGGAATCTATTATCACTCCTTCATTCAAGGGTTTCTACCTAAAAAAAATATGTATATTTTATGGGAGCAGTAACTAAGCTTTGCCTGACAGAAACTATGGCATTTTGAAATAAAAATATGAAAATAGAAATAATAGGTTTGAAATAAGTTCACTATTAACAAAACTAAATCCAAAATAAGCTTTTATATTTTAGTATTATTCACTTAAACATATTATTTTCTTTTCTTTACAAATTCTAAGATAATAAATAATACATAGTAAGCCCTTAAGCTGCTGATGTTCTTAAGAAAAAATAACGGTTACAGAAGAAACAGTGGAAATAAAGGAAAAATAATTATGTTTGCTCCTCTTGCGTACGCCTACAATTCTCCACTCTACCATTTACTGCACTAACAAATTAAACAAAGTCACTCTAATCCGGGACATTAGGTAACTCATTTGTTTAAAAATTGCCGCATAATTGAATTGACTGCGTCGAGCTGCAACATGCAGGCGTCCCGAATACACTAACAATAATGGCAACAATGAAAGCGGGGAGGCATTACTATCAACGGATTACTGCTAACACACGCACGTACGCACACAGCTACACAGACACAATAACCGTAATCAAAGCAGGCAACCTTTTTTCATGCCACAAAAATGTAGTTTATAATGCCACAGTATGTATCTTTGTATGTATGTGTGCCTGGAAGTGTGTGGGTGTCTTAATATTTATGCTTGTATGGGGCTTTGTTTTGCACTTCGCACTATTTTCTTTATGCTCACAATTCCTTAGAGCCGCAATTTCGTTGTCACAGTGTGGGCCTTGCGGTCGGACGGTCGGTCGGTTGGTTGGTCGGTTTGTTACGGGGTCGGGGACCCACCAGTCGACCAATGTCACTAATACACTGTTGGTGGCAGCTTCCGTGGCAATTTGTTTCCATTTCGTTGGTCTTGTTAATTTGTGCAGACAAAGAACACTAATCCATGGGGAAAAACAAAAAAACAACACATGCCAAGGGAGAGTACACAGTGGAAAAAATAGAAAGAAAAAAATGGAAAAACAGTGAAAAAAGAGTGAAAACAAAGGGCACCTAAGCGGCACACTGAATGACTTCAAATACTCACTTGCTGCGTTAGTAGGCATAAATGGGAAAGTAGAATGGAGGGGAAAAAAAAAAATAAACATACACACACACACACACACCGTCACACTTTTAGCAGCCTAACAAAGGCAGTAGGCCAAGTATTAGCGTAGGAGTATTTTACACAACACCGCATTGGCACTGTGTAGCTGGAAAGTTATTCGTGAAATTCGCTGAAAAAATACATCCCTAAAGTGTTCGCGGAAATAACAGCAAAGAGAGAATTAGTAAGTTAATCTGGAACACATATGCGGGGAAAATATGTAATGAAAACATTGGGGAGCGAAGTGTGTGTTTTTAGCCACTAAAGCGTATAGAGGAAGGCAAGCGACGCTGCGACACTCTTCGAGATAATTCCAAAAATACTTGAAGCGGTTGTGTGGTAAGAGGCATTTAGTTAATAATATGATTGACAATGAAGATAAAAGCATGACAAAGGTTAAAGGTCATGGTTTATAGAATAGAAGGTTACGACAAGTTGGAAATCATATGTTTAGTGACGAAGTTGATTCAATTTGTGGGTTGCCGAAAATTTAAAAATGATTTCCATAATTTTAGCTATGAAACAGCGTAACATTTTGGCTTCGAAACCCCTTAAACCTGGTATGGTATTTTTTCTTTTAATTAATGACAATTACAATTAAAACCTTTGATGGCGAACAAATGTAGTGTAAAATTCAAAAATCTTGTAAATTAATCAAGTTACGTAAAATAATATTATTAAAAAAAATGTAACACGAATGGCATGAGTGAATAATACCAAAAACGTGTAAATTTATTAGAAAAGGCGGTATTTTTA